TGGAATTGGAAGAGAACAAAAAAGATACATCTGATGAAACTGAAAATATCAATAATTGTGATAAGGTAATATAATATTTGATACAATATTATTTGCTTATTAACTGTTATATAATTTAAGATGTAAATATCTGAAATATTCCAAATTTGAATGAGCATGCAATGTTAGTTTGTATCAGATTTTGGATTTATTACTATCTCCATTAATAAGTTTTCTTTTTTAAAACATTGTATATTACAGAAACTATTAGTTATTCCAAAAAAGATTCATTCCAATTTGGGTCATTAATTAATTTGTTTTCATCATCTATTTTCAAAGGGATATATTTCTATTCATTTTTGATTGAGAATTTATTAAATTATGAGCTTAAAATCATAATTGTTTCTTTATCATAAAATTATGTTAAATAGTTGTTTTTAAAATTCTAAATTTCAATATTTAAATAATAAGGTCATTGGGCTTTCATACTGTGAGATAGTCGGGGGCACTGGGTCTACTCCCAAATGTCACTTACTCGGTATGGGCTGGAAAAGCCTGTTCTTGACGTCAAGGATGGCTTTAGGAGGGCTAAAAGTGAATGGGGAGGTCAATGGGCAAGCCGACAGGTTCCAAATAATTACACAGGTTAAACTTAAGAATAACACATTTAATAAACTATAAATTTATACAAAGCAAATTCAAAAGTGAATAGCTACAAAAATAAAAATATTCAAAAATTCTAGGTCATGACAATGATTACTTCGTTCTTGTTGAAAAACCTTATCACGTTCTTGACCTGTATCTGTCCCAATATTTTTTAAGTTATACTAACCTTAATCTAGCTTATAACTGAGAGAGAGACCCGAGAGAGAGAGTTTACAAATAGTCTAAAATACTACCTCTTGGTTCCCGATCTCTTCATATGGGAGGTTGGTGAAATGTCTCTGATCGGGGGAGTTGACCATTGGCGATTATGGTGAGGTGGCAACGGACAGAATGGTGGTATGGGTCTGTTGATGTCCGCGTCCCAAGCCCTTTTTATACCCATTTTTGGGAGTGCTGACTAATACTACAGATGATGTAACCCATTCTAAGTTCACTTTGTTTATGTTAATTGTCAGAAATCAAACATTTCTTCAGATTTATTACCTCTTTCTATCTGTTATGATTACTCATTTTACCTCATAAAATTGATAACAGCTGTCAAACAACTGAATTAATTGCTGGAGGTGACTAAGGTCAGAGTTTGTCTTGCAATCTTAGTAATAATTGTTACTTTGTATGATCAGATGATCGGCTTTATCAGTTTCACAATCGGAAGAAATAGGGTTTTGTTTTTTCCGTTTCTCTTGCCCTTTTGATCCAATTTTTACGTCTTAAAAATTATATTCTTAAGTTATTTAATTAATTTTTTCTAATTATTCTCTTTATTTCTTTCACTCCCCCCTTGGATGTCACAATACCATTGTAGTTAGTTCCCATTAAACTTAATGTAAAATTTTTGTCATTTCTTTTAACTTTTTAAAACATTACAAGTAACAAATCATTTTCTAGTAAACTGTCAATTGTGTCTGCCTACCCTATGTAGAATTTCTGTAAATGAAGAGACTCATGGGATATATAAGAAAAAGTTGGAGTATATATAGGTTTAAAAAATAAAATCAAATATTGGGAAAAACAATTTAAGAGTGATTGAATTAAAGGAAAAAATAACAAATCACAAAAAAATATTAATGTGTAACTTTTTACAACAACAAGATTACAAAGATATAATTAAAAAAAAATACAATGTTAGCTAACTTAACATTAAATGAAAAACTTGAACCAGAATGAAATGAAGTCAAAGTTATGTTTCTTATTGTATGATGCTAAGACTTTATTTTGTCAAAAACTGTTTTAACAGAAACTATTTTGGCAGAAGTTGTTTTAACTAAATTAAGGAAATCTTGTAATATGCTAATATTACAATTATCAGTATCTGGAATTATTTTTTTGAAAACTAATTTGCTAAAGATTCTTAACAGAAACTGTATTTGCATGATCTTATAAATTTTATGCATTTTCCTATTTCAAATTTAAATGTGTTTGAATGCTTTATTCTATCTTTGAATTCTGTTATACGATTTAAAGATGCTTTAAATAATAAAATTGAAAATATTTATTAATTTTTGATAAGTTTAAGAAATTTTAAGAAAAATATTATCAATGAATTTAAGTACATAAATTTGATATTATTCATCAATCTAACAACTTAAAAATGTAAAATAATATAAAATAATTTTTAAAACACTTTCTATGATCTTTGAAATTTTTCATGGAAAGTAATAGTATAATTCAAAGAACTGTATAATTTCCATGTAAAAGCCATTTGTTTGGTCATAACAAATAAGCAGCCATCTGAGCAATAGTTATTTAGAAAATCAGAAGTGAATTTACACAGGTGTTCAGAATTAAAGTAACAAATACAAACATACATGGCAAAAACATAGAAATGAACAGCCCTTCATTGCAATGAATCATCCAAATGCCTTCTTTAAGGTATGTCTCATAAGCTACTGATGTATCAGGACACTTGCTCACTGTTAACAGTCCTAGCAGATGATTGTTTGTGAGAAACAATTTTCCTGTATTTAAGTGGATTAAATTTACATAAGTCTTATTACATATATATATATATAGCATACTACATTTTGTTACTTAGGTGCACTGCTATTGTGTCTCATTTGAATGACACCTGCATGATAAGATGGCACTTTGCTGATTTTACATATGATGTAAGTTTCAGGTACGGTACTCACATTTCATAATGTCGATTTTACACAGATTTTGTGTTTTTTGCTTTAATTTTGGACACCAGATTATATATCAATGAAAGAACTTTTAAGATTTTAAGAAAAATGTAAAGACATTTCTCTTAAAATTTATCATTATCCTGTGTTGTTTAGTTAATTTTCAGCTTTTTCCAATATACTGATATTTAAATTTTGAAATATTTCATATTACATTCATTTACTTTTTATGTTTAGTGTTTCAATTTGCNATGTGTTCAGCTTAGGTAATCATCTCCATATACTTGTTTCCAGAGCCATAACTAGGATTTTGGATGCCTATGGCCAAGAATAAAAATGGCGCCTTTTTAATTTTTATTATTAAAAAAAATAATTTTATTCTAAAAAATGCTATTGTAAAAAATTATCTAATGACATTTAAATACTACATAATTATAAATATAAAAAATTTTTTGTGTTATCAATTCCAAGTACATACTATTTTGAAACCTTCTCATTGGCGCCTTTATTAAATCAGCGCCTATGGCGGGGGCACATTGGCCATACTCTAGTTATGGTTCTGCTTGTTTCAGTAACTTAAACCTTTAGGTAAAAGTTTTCTTTAGTTTTATGCAGAACATAACGTTGGCACATTGCTTCATAGCAATTTTCTGATGGTCACGAAATAGCCCTTATGTTTCACGCCACACAAAGGATTGTTATGAACCAGTTCAAATGATTGATAACATAATATTCAAAATTTTGAATTTGACCATAAAAACTAATTGCACATCTAGTTATACTGTATTTGTAGAACAAAAATTCAGTTTTTTTAGACAACCTGTGGTAAAAGTTTATTAATTTGGCACCTATGGGAGCAGAGTTGTATATGATTATTAATAATGCTGGCTTATCAGGTGATTTTTGTATTTTTTACAAAATTTGATAAGTTAAAAGCAATTTGAACATTGCAGATATTGCTGTATGTTTTGTACTAGTGAGTATATAACATAAATAACATGCTGTTGTATGTTTCCAATTTGTTTACTCACACTCTTTAATCAGTCTGAAGATGATACAGTGCATTACTAAACATTGCTAAGATTAAAAAACTTGCAAAAATGTAATGAACATGTTACTGTACAAAATTACCATTGATAATGATTCATGTGCTTATAATAATTATTTTTTAGACATGTATAGTATTTCTGCTTGGATCTTTAATACAAAGCAAGTCCAAACAAATTCTTATACTAGCATGCTGATTATTATTAGACAATTCCAGATTATCAGCTATGGAAACCAGACATTTTGAATTATGGGTGCCAGATTAACAAATGTTTATTATTGTTTATTTTATATAAATGAGAATATAGTATAGCATTGCTTAATTATTTAATTTGGCACTAGGTTGATGCAAAAGCAGATAGTCAAATATTAAAACTATAAATTTCTGTAAATGTAAGTAAATAATAATAAATTAAATATATGAATTATATAAATAATATAACAATAAATTTCCTCAAATGGATATCATTCAGATTTCAATATACAAATCTGTGCATCAGCTTTGTGTTCACCTAACATAGTATCTCCAAATCAAGATGTGTGTGTGTATATATATATATAAAATTTATATTAAGTTTTGTTTTTTGAAAATTATTTTAAAATACTGCATACTCCATTTAATGTAATTTCTTTGTAAAAACTTTGGGAGCCATCAAAATTTGTAACAATATCTAAATGATAACATTGAGAGCTAAGTTAATGAAGAAAATAATTAGGTTTCATTGACTTTAACATTAAAAAGTCAAGTTAAAATAATTTATTCTTAAAGTAATCTTTAAGATTTATTAATTATAAAAATGATTAGTATTATTAATTAATATGTAATTCATCCCATATTGTCTGTACCAACATCAACAATAGCTAGTGTAATGTCACAATTTAAATTATTGTATTGCCAGAAAATAATGATTAAAAAATTAATATTTAATGTTTAATGCACTGGTTAAGACTGATAATAATTGCATGTTATCAGCCACATTTTAAAGCCAATAGCAAGAAAGTAGTGCGTAAAAATGCCTATACATCTGTACATAATGATAACAGCAATCAAATTCTGCTTACATTAAAACAGAGTCTACTGTATTTTTTGTGTAAAGCTTTTTATATTACTATATTACTATAAAAAATAGTAATTTTCAAAAAGAAGAAAACAAAATTTATGATAATACAATGAATTTATAATATACGATATATGCATAATATACATTGTATTATGAATTTTTAAAATGCCAATACATTTTCAATAGACTAGTCTGATGTCTAATGTATAAATGTTTGATAATTTTGAATGATAGGAATCAATGCCTTATATTAAAAGAAAATTTCCAAATAAGTATGAGAAAAGTAAAAGATTAAAAAGTGATGAGATAGAAGAAGTTGATATGGATATAGAAAATATTGATCAAGGTAATTTATTGTTTTGATTATCATAAAATTTTTAAATAATAAATATATATTTTAAAAAATAATATAAAAATATCACGAATATGCAAAGAAAAAGTTCTTGCTTTCATTTTCTTTCCATAGTTCACACCAGTGATAGTTCTGTTTTTTGACTGTCACTAGTGTGAACTACGGAAAGAAAACGAAAGCAGGAACTTTTTCTTTGCATATTCATCATATTTTTGTATTATTTTTTAAAAATTAAATACTGTCAGCCAAGATTTTAAATATTTACTTTAATAAATTTATATTTATATTATCAATCATTTTAAGAAAACTGATATTTAGAATGACAGTTTAACAAAGCAGATTTTTGTTATATCTCATTTTATTTTGTTAAGTACAGAAAATTTAGCATTTCAAGGTTTTAAAACTTTTTTTAATTTTGAACATTTTTACTTTTAGTTCTTAATTAAGATGCAGTAATCATTCATTATGTTGTTGTAGTCATTCCTGTAAATAATCCATAGAGGCATGTAACATGCATTGTTAAAATGTCCATTAAAGCTTGACACTCACATTGATAGGTATTTTTCTAATTCAGAAAAGTTTGTATTATATTATAATTTACTAATATTACTATAGTCATCACTGTTTACATGTAACAACAAAATGACAATGAAGTTAAGCACTGTTTCTCAATTACCATGATATTCATGCACAGTTATAGTTACAAAAAATTGTGATATTGATTATGGTTAAAAATTGTAGTAATTGTTTATTAGAATAATACAAAAGGTATATGAAGCCCTATATAAATTAATTTTTCTAAATAAGAACAGAATCTTATTCCTTAACATTTTTCCAGGCACAAATGAGAATTTTTGTTTGTAATATTAAAATTTATCTTATCATTTTAATCTTTTATATTTGAAGTGACATATTCTAACATTATTCTCAGTTCATGATAACATTAATACTTTTACATTTTGAAGATAAAAAATGACTAATTATGATTTAATAAGATCATTGGCTAGCAAGAGAGTATTTTTTGGATACATAAAAACAATTTTTTATAACCTTTTCCTTCATCTATCTAACTTGTTGTAATATTTCAATAATAGGAAGGATAATATATTCTGATGATGAGGAAGCTCGTTTATGCAAGTTCATTCCACCTTTACCTCATGATACTCCCATACAAGTTCCAGTGCCACCACCACCACCACCACCACCACCACTTCCTGCATCTGATGATGCACCTGCATTTGTTGAAGAAACTCAGATATGTGCAAATCTTTTATCACCTACATTAACTGAATTAGAAGAAGAAAAACAAAGATTAATGAATGAATTAGAATTGGAATTGGAAGAGAACAAAAAAGATACATCTGATGAAACTGAAAATATCAATAATTGTGATAAGGTAATATAATATTTGATACAATATTATTTGCTTATTAACTGTTATATAATTTAAGATGTAAATATCTGAAATATTCCAAATTTGAATGAGCATGCAATGTTAGTTTGTATCAGATTTTGGATTTATTACTATCTCCATTAATAAGTTTTCTTTTTTAAAACATTGTATATTACAGAAACTATTAGTTATTCCAAAAAAGATTCATTCCAATTTGGGTCATTAATTAATTTGTTTTCATCATCTATTTTCAAAGGGATATATTTCTATTCATTTTTGATTGAGAATTTATTAAATTATGAGCTTAAAATCATAATTGTTTCTTTATCATAAAATTATGTTAAATAGTTGTTTTTAAAATTCTAAATTTCAATATTTAAATAATAAGGTCATTGGGCTTTCATACTGTGAGATAGTCGGGGGCACTGGGTCTACTCCCAAATGTCACTTACTCGGTATGGGCTGGAAAAGCCTGTTCTTGACGTCAAGGATGGCTTTAGGAGGGCTAAAAGTGAATGGGGAGGTCAATGGGCAAGCCGACAGGTTCCAAATAATTACACAGGTTAAACTTAAGAATAACACATTTAATAAACTATAAATTTATACAAAGCAAATTCAAAAGTGAATAGCTACAAAAATAAAAATAGTCAAAAATTCTAGGTCATGACAATGATTACTTCATTCTTGTTGAAAAACCTTATCAAGTTCTGGACCTGTATCTGTCCCAATATTCTTTAAGTTATACTAACCTTAATCTAGCTTATAACTGAGAGAGAGACCCGAGAGAGAGAGTTTACAAATAGTCTAAAATACTACCTCTTGGTTCCCGATCTCTTCATATGGGAGGTTGGTGAAATGTCTCTGATCGGGGGAGTTGACCATTGGCGATTATGGTGAGGTGGCAACGGACAGAATGGTGGTATGGGTCTGTTGATGTCCGCGTCCCAAGCCCTTTTTATACCCATTTTTGGGAGTGCTGACTAATACTACAGATGATGTAACCCATTCTAAGTTCACTTTGTTTATGTTAATTGTCAGAAATCAAACATTTCTTCAGATTTATTACCTCTTTCTATCTGTTATGATTACTCATTTTACCTCATAAAATTGATAACAGCTGTCAAACAACTGAATTAATTGCTGGAGGTGACTAAGGTCAGAGTTTGTCTTGCAATCTTAGTAATAATTGTTACTTTGTATGATCAGATGATCGGCTTTATCAGTTTCACAATCGGAAGAAATAGGGTTTTGTTTTTTCCGTTTCTCTTGCCCTTTTGATCCAATTTTTACGTCTTAAAAATTATATTCTTAAGTTATTTAATTAATTTTTTCTAATTA